AATTGTAATTCCAATCATGCATGTAGAATGAGAGCCTGCCTAGCTTCGCATTTCGAACGAAGGAAACAATTTATTTTGGTTTTTTTTCGAACGTTTGAATCCAGCTAGCTACTTCCTCTTTGATAAGAAAGTTTGTTTCATTTAAATTCAAATTCTCTGTTGATTCGAGTTGACATTTGTAACGGGAATCTCCCCTTTTCCTTTTCGTCTTTGCACTTTTCTTTTTCTTAATCATGCAAATAAATAATGACATTTTTTTAACTGTTTGTGTTATATTCTTCCCTTCTAAGTTTAAGTACATCGTTTTAACTTGAAATTAAAATTATTAGACCCCACCTGACTCAAATTAATAATAATAATAAATAAATTTAAAATAATTTTTTTTAATTTAACTTATTATAAAAGTTTATCCATGGGATATTGAGCTCGATGAGAATTAATCATTAATTAACTTACCAAATCAATTCCAAAATAATTTTTATTTTAAAAAATTCAACTCAAATTAAAAGTTTGATCAATCGTGTTAAAGAATAATATAAATTATATTTTGAGATTTCTCTTAATAACTTAAACTAATATGTTGAGATGATTATTTAATATGGTATCAGAGTTTTCTTCACCCCGCGGTCATGAGTTTGAATATTATCATCCTCATTTATTTGATAAAAATCAAGTATAAAATAATATAAATTTGTGCAAGTTTCAAATTCAAAGTGCTTGAGTATGTTAAAGAATAATATAAATTATATCCTAGAATTTCATATAATAATTTAAGTTATTAGGTTGAGATGATTTTAATAAATTACTAATTTTTAAATATCTTGATATATTAATATAAAAATAATATATATATTATTTTAATATCTTTTTTAAAAATTAATTGTTATTACAATTTTTTACTAGTTTTAATGCATCCCAAAATCTGGCTCCCATGCATGTTGATAAAAAAATGAAATACCCGTGTTTGTATTATCATTAGACTAATTAAATCTCACAACTTTACACCGAAAGAGTCCTGTTATTAGACAGAATTGTGAGCCCCATGTGAGCATATTCCCATGCCTACTTAATTTCTTCATGTTTTGGTCTAATTTTTCTCTAAACCAAAGAAACTACATAGATTACCATCTTGTATTCTGGTCGTGTCATCACCATCTTGTTCCTTGAGGATAACAGCAATATTATCTTCTTTTATTGGTCTTACTTTAAAATCATTTTACTTGTAACTTCCTGTGTTTAACTTTGCTAAAATACAAATTAGTTTACTAATCTCGAGGAAATTAGAGTATGTTAGTTTGATTACTAGTAGCATGCCATTCGAAGACGAGTAGCTAGGGCATAAAAAATAATTATTTACTTGTCAAAACCAACAAAACAAAAGTCTAATAGTCATGATATCACAAGGCAAGTTAATTACTAAACAAATGGTTCAAGCAGCAAGTTGTATTTGTATATCATAAGATTTCGATCATTTTAAGCACACGGAGCCCATCGAGCTTCTAAATCTGAAAATGATCAATCTGGCTCAACAATAAGGCAATAATTTGCTTATAATATGATATGATTTACTTAGGAGATGTAATAATCTTTTGGCTGTACATTAATCCACATAACTAGATTTCTTGTCTCTTGATTTCATTTGTGTTTGTCCTTAATAAGGTTGTTGCACTTATGAAGTTAAAACACTTTCTCTAATGATCTATTAATATTAATGCATATTAGAAGACAATCACTCTTGTTCAACAACATTCATGGTAATAATATTAAATGAATCTTTTATTTTTTCTTTTAATATCAACGCCGTCAAGTACAAAAAAATAGATTAATAAATTATTAGTAGTTATTTTTTTAGGCCATTTAAAAGTTAATAAATTATTAGTAGTTATTTTTTTAGTCCATTTAAAAGAAAAAATAGAAATAAGTAAAAAAGAGAAATATTATATGAAGATGTTTTTATTATTTTTTATGGGATATATATTTTTTTCTTTTTATATTTTTTTTAGATGAGTTCAAGTAGTAATTAATAAGTCACCATAATTTTTTTTTTTGCAAGCTTATTATCGAATCTATTAATAAATTATTAAACCAATGGATTTATGCACATTAATTGGATATCATAAACATAAACATGTTTGGACAGGGACACACAAGATGGGTTAGAGTAATTACATCACATGACATCAGATAACAAGAGACATTAACAAGAAATCTACACATGATCTCTCATGAATTACATATTTCACCAAAATAATAGATTCTTTAAACCTTAAGCTTCCTTCAAGGTTAATGTAAAGTAGTGTAACAAAGGAAATAGCTAGTGGTCCATGCGTGACTCCAAGTAGAAAAGCAATGAAAAAACAAAAAAGCACACAGCTAGGAAGGCACACCAAGGACAGTCTTAGGTAGCTGTGACTTTTGTCATTGCATTATTTTATATAGAATATTTCTCTGTGACAAAACAGTAAAGGCGAGCATAAATTTTTACATGTTGTTGCCCATTTTCATTGGATTTGAAAAGAAACATGAAAGAAAGCAAGAAGAAAGTAACATAGTTCTTCAGTTTCCTATTGTTTAAGACAACAATTAAGTTCAGGCATTGGTTTTGTTTTGCTCTCTTATCTTCCTCGGTCTTTGTAGGAAATGCGGTCACTTGTTTTGTCCTTGTAGCGTAGTACCATTCCCCAAAGGTTTTAAAGAAGAAAGAAGGAAGCTTTCTTAAAGCTGAAGCTTGTTAGATTGAAATGGGTATAAGCAGACCTCAAAAGTCCAGTAATGGGGTTCCCACCAGATGGGTTTATCTCTTCTGCATTGCCAGTTTCTTCTTGGGAGTTCTTGTTGTTAACAGGTTCTGTTTCTCTCTCTTATTCTCTTGTTTGGAATTTTTAAAGATCTTGTCTTTTTGAAGTGATCAGCGTTTAGATTTGTTGCCTATCTTAGTAGGATTTGGAAAGCTTAACTTTGGTGGTGGTTCTGTTTTTGTGCTTTCGTTGCTTTATGTATAGGATGGAGAATCTTACATGGTCTCTCTTATGAAATCATATGCAAAGTGTAATCCTTTTGTGTAGATTTTGGCCGTTATTTTATGAAATTGAGCGCTTTTTTCTTGGAATCCATGTAAAATATTGGGACCTTTTGCTGTTCCGGCCTTCTGGGTCTACAGAATTTCAAGTTATAGGTGGAGTTGTGGAGACTGATTGGATGATTTTGAAATGTTTGAGGTGAAGTATGAGCTTTAGTTCTCACCACGGAGATGAAGTCCCAGTAAGGAGAATATGTGAAGTATTGATTTGGATGGTTAAGTATGTGTTTCAATGGAAGGTCATTGGGTTGGTGAATAGGCTAATGTCAAGTTGCTGAAGAGGTATTGATTGGATATTGGTGGTGGAACAGGTGCAGAAATATTTCCGGTCGTTTGATGCCTTGAACAGGCAAGTACCGAATGAATATCTGCCAAGTTGGAAATCGAGCTGTTTCTTAAATTTTTGATGCGTAGAGATGCTTCCAAATTGTCTTTTGAGAGAAATCAGCTATAATATTTGAGTACCAAATTTTGGGTTTATTTATTAAATATAAATCAAACGATGAGAATTGGCGTGTAAAGCCAAAATGCTGAATCAAGTTATGTTGTGGAAAAAAGGCAAAATATTAGATGAGACTTGCCAAGTGATTCTACTTTGAATAAACCGGTGAAATGGAGTCCAACTTGTGCTGCCATTTTACTAGAACTTCATCAACAGCTAGCATTTGTGTTGAGAACACATCAATTAACACCGTATCTCTAGCAGCTGGCCTTAATGTAGTATGATAGTTTAATCCGGTGCATTCTATTGATTATATATTGGATGGCTTGTAAGCTATTACTGTATTTCACTTTTTCTTCAGTCTTCTTCATCTTTAAGCCCTCCAGCAACTTTGCTCAAGTCTGATTTGCCACTTACATGTATTTTATAGGTTTTGGGATTTTCCTGATCCAGCAAAAATGGATGATGAAGCTTCATCTCTGAAGAAGGATCAAATAACTGCAGATCATCCCACAGTTAATTGTGAGAAGCAGGCAAGTCTAGTTACTAAAATAGTGTCTCATAAGCTCTGTTTCCAGCAATAAACTCGTGCAGATGATAATGTTTATGATATTGCAGGAAACTGCTGTTCGGGCAGGAGATATCCTGTCTCGGGTTTCTCAAACTCATGATGTGATCATGTGAGATTCTAAAACCCGGTATATTATGCTTTAAAAAGAGCTCTGGAATCACTTCTGTAATTCAATAAATATGTATTGTTTTATTTTATATATATATATATATATATATATATATATATATATATATATATATAAGAGGCTATTTACTTAATAGGTATTGTAAATTTGGAATGGAATCTTCAAGAGAAGCATTGAAGTATCATTTCATGTAATACCCGCACTATGATGATTACAGGACACTAGACAAAACAATTTCCTCATTGGAGATGCAGCTAGCTTCAGCAAGAGCTGCAAAAGTTATCAATGAGGATGGATCTCCTATGGTCACAAAATCAGGAACCGAGCATTTGAAGGAGCGAGCAAAGGTTTTCTTTGTTATGGGAATAATTACTGCATTCAGCAGCAGGAAGCGAAGGGACTCGATTAGAGAAACCTGGATGCCCAAAGGTTAAATCCAAATCATACCAATCCTTCTCTGAACTAAACCATTGGTAGCTGTTACGAGTCAGTAGATGCTTACACTTAATTGATTATTTTTTATTCTAGGAGAGGAGTTAAAAAGGTTGGAAACAGAGAAGGGTATTATAATACGGTTTGTTATAGGACACAGGTATGTTTATTCAAAGTGCTTGTGGTTATGTAGTAGCTCAGTGTTAACAGTTTGACAATATATATCTGTCTGGGATGATTAATGTTTTTTTTTATTTGACAGTGCATCTCCAGGTGGTGTTTTGGACCGTGCTATTGAAGCAGAAGATGATCAACACAAGGATTTCCTGAGACTGGTATGTTGTGGTTAGAACTCTGCGGGACCTGTTTGATAACCAGGCATTATGCAGGATAATATGTTTTGTAACCAGTTACCAAGTAAAGGCTATGACACTATTTGCAAAATCATTTTGTTAATTGCCTTTTTTGCCTTACCTATCTTGAACACCAAGCAGAAACATTTGCCTAGTCTTCCAGTTCCTGTCCCATTTAAGGATAAAAAATCTTTCTACACTTGGATGAAAAATAAAAATAAAAATTGGACATTATTGAAGAAGCTGGCCCCTTTCAAAAGCCAGGGCTACAGGTTTGGGAGAGAGAAGCTTCTGAAATGTATCTGGAGGTGGTGTTTGATAAACACAACAAGTTTTCAAATGCTTATGCAGTGTTACTGTAATCTTTGTTGCAGAATCATGTAGAAGGTTATCATGAATTATCGTCGAAAACACAAATATATTTTTCAACAGCTGTTGCTAAGTGGGATGCTGACTTCTATATTAAAGTTGATGACGATGTGCACATAAATCTTGGTTAGTTTACTTGAATGCTTTACACCTCACAAAAATGGAGCACAGAAGGATGTCTTTTGGCAGTCATCTGATTTTAATATCTGACAGGCATGGTCGGATCTACCTTGGCCCGTCATAGATCAAAGCCTCGTGTTTATATTGGTTGTATGAAGTCTGGACCTGTACTAGCACAGACGTAAGCATTCAAATGGGAGCAAATTTTCTGACCATACGATGTTCAACTTTGTTAACACATTTACTTCTGCATTCTATTTGCAGAGGAGTCAAGTACCATGAGCCAGAATATTGGAAATTTGGTGAGGAGGGGAACAAGTATTTTCGGCATGCAACTGGGCAAATATATGCAATTTCTAAAGACTTGGCCACCTATATCTCAGTAAATCGGTAAGCCTGAGTTTTGTGCCATCAATTCTATTTAGATAATATCCTCCTCCTATATTTCTGATGTGCGGCATTTTAATCTGCAGACACATACTTCATAGATATGCAAATGAAGATGTTTCTCTGGGTTCTTGGTTTATTGGTCTTGATGTTGAGCATATTGATGATCGAAGCCTCTGCTGCGGGACTGCACCTGGTAAGATAAATGCAAATATGTATTTCTTTGTTCCCCTCCTTCATGGCATGCTTTTAATATTATGATAGCCTCAGTTCTAGCACATTAACTGAAGCAAATCGTTATACTATGCATGTTACACAAAATGGTCTCTTCGAAGTTGAATAAAAGATTTTTCACTAATGTTGTTGAAATATTGTGATAGATTGCGAGTGGAAAGCCCAGGCAGGTAATCCTTGTGCTGCATCGTTTGATTGGAGCTGCAGTGGCATTTGTAAGTCAGTGGAAAGAATGGAGGAAGTACACCAGCGATGTGGGGAAGGTGGGGGAGCAATCTGGCATACAAGTTTCTGAAACTTTTCCTCTTGTAATATAGTTTTTGTGTGTGATTTAAGCTGTTGGTTCAGACAACACCATCTGCCCGATTTTTGCTGTCGATGCCTCGGACATTTGGTGCATGATTAAATTAATTACTTCACATACAGATTATCAAGCCGAGAAAAGAAATATGGTGTAGTTCCAAAGATTCACAGCTCGCTTCTAACCCAGACATAAAGAAAATTACTTGCTATATCCAAATTCTACCAAAACGTGGATGAAACATGATAGAATGTAGCCTGATATTCTCCAAATTCTACCAAAACGTGGAAGAAGAAGAAAATTACTTACTATTTAATGAATACTTGTATAAATTTGTGAAACCCAACAGATAAAATATAAATATCAAAATCTTTATCCCGTTAAATAATAAATAAGATATGAATATGGTATATAATATATGTACTCATCGTCATCCTTCCTTTCACAACATTTATTAGGCATGCAAAAAAGGTATGCACTCTCAAATTCTATGAACTCATGTGACATAGCCCATATTTTAGTACAACAAGGATGACAACACAAAAAAAATATGCGTTTTTTGTATTTTATTTGTTATTAGATTGTGTTTAAAAAATGTTCACGTTTAAAATAAATGGAAATTAAAAAATGTTCTAAGCCAGATCTTTGGTGAGGCACTAATGCGTATGAAATCTGGAACTTAAGAGAGAAGTGTTGAATACATTCACGTTTAAAACTTGTCTGTAATTTCCTTTAATCTCATTTTTTTTTATGGCAGAGAACTTTAGTTTTATATATGAATAACTATACATTATCTAAATGCCATTTGTTGTGTCTTATTTGTTATTGCAATGAATGTTAAGGAAATAAATATTTATATAGATAAAATTATTTTTATTTGACATGGTAATATTCTTAAATATTCACAATAAATTCTATAACCAACAAAAAAGGAAGTGAAGATGGATATCAAATTTATTCTATAAATACTTTTGAAAAAAATTGAATTTTTATTTTTTTCTTTAAATTAATATGTTTTTTATGTTTTCAAGTTATTTTGATATGATGATCTAAAAAATAATTTTTTTAAAAAATAAAAAAACTATTATTGATATACTTTTTTAAATAAAAACATTTTAAAAAATAACCACAACTTCACTTTTAAATAAGCTTTGAAGATTTAGATTTTGTCAAAATATTTTTTAAAATTCACCTATTAAAAAAAATTTACAAATCAAATAAGAATTTCATACGTTGAATGTATGTATGGATCCTACAAGCTAATGAATCCCATAAATCTAATAACTGAAATTTTTTTACAAGTAAATTAAGGGGAAAAAAATTCAACAAATCTTCAAATTCAAGTTTCTAAATTTCTTACCAATGGAATGAAAATCTCATATATTGAACATGCTGATCTAGTGATGAGATCCCACTCTAAATTCAATCTAGTGATGAGCTAGGGATTTGTTTGATTAAAAGAAATATTAAATTAATATTTTTTTTATAATTTTAATATACTAATACTAAAAATTAAAAAAAATTAATATATTTTCAAATAAAAAACAACCAATATACAAAACAACACTAAACAGACACCGGCCTTTACCGTAATTTCACCATCATTTAGGTACCTTCTTTTTCATACGCCTACTTTTTCAAATTTCTTGTCCATTTCCTGAGAATCTAAATGATTATAAATCCATGGTCAATTTCCCAATGGAGGCCAAGGGTCCATCCGCACACACTTTAATATCATTTGTGTAGAGCTTGTTAGGCTCCTCGCTGGATGTCAACTCAGCTTCCATTAGCCTCCATTGGGAGATCAGCAGTCCTTGAAGAAGATTGTTTCCATTGGACATATCAATTCGATTAGCATGTTAGGCTAAGGGACCATCCGCATACGCACCCTTTTTTTTATCTTTCTGGGTCCCAACCTCCATTAGCAGCAGCGCACGAAGAAGACTATTGCAAACATGAGGAATTCCTGACAAGAAAAACCATGTTGCTGCAATAAAAGTGCAGAACTCCACTGAGGGAAAAAGGTTTTTCTAGATTCCAGCCATTTTGAAGGAGCACTACAACACCAGGATCACAAACACATAAATTTAATTACATGATGAACACATGATGTTTTGAGTCTGGCCAGTTCACTTTTTTATATACGTAGCCATCAAGAGATTTGCTGCAAGATCCCTAGTTAATTTTGTGACGGGATAGATGCTGTTTCTATCTCTCATATTAAATCTGTCCCAGCTTAGCGGGTTGATCCAGAAACTGGTTTAGAAAAGGTTTCAAATTAGATAATATAAAAATTAATCTACGACCTAATCAAAACTTATCTTGTAATTTTAATGTTTTTAAAATTTTTAAAATTATATTGTTTTAATTGATTCAAGTTAATTTTAATCAAATTAAATAACCAGTAACTCGGGATTTGAATAGGGTTATAGATGATTTAGAGTTTTAACACTTTGATTTTTATTCCATGTTCACATCTTGTATTTTTTAGAAAAATCTCCTAGCAAGCTTGGCAGAGAACCATGTCACGGTGCTAGCTACTGCTTCATATGCCTTTTACTACTTGGGTTGAACACAACAGTTCTTGTATATGTTGATCAGTTGTTTAATTTGGAAAAGATATGTTGAAATTATCTAATTCACATAATAAGATAATAATAGACGTATACTCAATCTTTATGTAATTAATACCCCAAGAATTCAAATTACGATACCTGGATTTGAATCCAAGTTATGGACATGATTCTCTCTTGTCACGCAACCTCCTCGCAGGGGCGGACGGTGGATTGAATTACTGGGAGGGCCAAGGTAAAAATATCACGAGGCTTTACGTACTAGCATTATGAAATATTTTGAGGGCTTAGTAATAATTTCCAAGGATCCAATATGAAAATATGCTTAAATTTCAAGAACATAATTAGTAAACTAGATTTTACCACGCAGTTGACATAGACAAATCAGGAGATGAAACCTAGCACAGATCGAATTTTAATTTAAATTAAAAAAATATTAAAATGGCAAGATAAATACAGTTGATTCTTCTTCAATTGACTCAATCAAGTTTAATATTAATAAATATTTTAAAAAATGACTAGATGGAACTAATAACTGATATAATTTAATGACTGAAGCCTTTTTTCAAAACTTTATCAGATCCCAAGTTGGATCTGATGGAGTTTTGTGCCCTCTGAGCATGGAAATCTCTCAAGTGCTCTGCATCAACTCATTATCCCTTAAACCAATTCCATAATCCATAATCGTTTAATTTCTTTTCACAGTGAAGGGACACTCTCTTTTATTAACAAAATCATAATTTTGATTGGATTTTGAAAGATTCTGACGAACCTAACCAACCTAACCATGAAAACTAATCATATGTCGGTTCGAAAACAATGATGGTATTGACCCAGGATCAAATAGCGGTCGGTAGAACTGAGAAGCCATAGATGGCTTTGAACAAGGAAAAAAAGGATGTTGGACTCGTACTAAAAGACTTTGCATGAGAACCGCAGAATGTCATGATAAAGTTGAACCAGCATATGGATTGGAGAATAAATAAAACCAGAAATCTTCCTCAAATTTCTCACAGCATATAGTAAAAAAGCTTGCACTAAAGAACAAAAACGCACCGTGTTATGGTTTCAGAATTTCTGATATTGGGAACGATGGTTTCAGGCATGGACTTCATTATTTTACATAAAGAATATTAGGTGGGCTTCCGGTGGAGATGCAAGACATGTCCCATCATCATTATCATTACATCATCTTAGCTTTTTTCTATGAAACATTAAGTGGTTGTGGTCTTTTTTTTTAGATTAACGTGGGTGTCCGGGCCAGCTTGCGCGCACCACGACTAATCCCACGGGCCCTAAAGTTAACGACCATGTAAGCCTCTAGTGGCCATCATATGAGCAATCAAGGACTCGAACCTGAGACCACAGAGGGAGCAAACCCCTTAATCCCAAGTTTTTACCACTTGACCACCACCTAGATGGTTGTTGTGGTCTTTCTTTAAATACCTAGGTTGATGATGCCTTCGTTCGGAAGAACTTAGATGCGTGTAGTAAATGAATAAAAGATCGATCGCTGCCTAACTTTAAAATTCCTACCTCTCTCTCTAACCTCACCAGGTTTTGGGAACTCAACAAGAATTTATGATTTCAACCAAAGAAAAAAACAAGAATTTATGATTCAAATTCAAATGTTATAACTTGATATATATAATTTTTTTAAAACTTTATAATTATTTTTTATTTATTTCAGGTTAGGCCAGGTTGTATGGATCGGTAACCATACCTAACTAATATTTTGCCATCAAATTTTACTCTCATCCAATCAGATCTAAGAATTTCCTATCTTTTTTGGGTTTCAAACTAAATTGTTATCCCTGTGAACATTCAAGAAAAGATCAACATTAAAGTTTGATATTTCTACATGAAGATTTTAGGTTTAAATTTTTGAAAGAGTTGAATGAAAGTTAGGTACGAGGAGGAAATAACTATCCATATTGAATAATTCAGAGCTCATCTTTACTCTTGTTAAACTGAAGATAATCAAAGAACATTTATGATCATCTCATGTTTACTTAATTCTTTTATATTTTTTTAACTTTAAAGGGTTGATCTATTAGATCACTCGAGGACTTATTTTCTTTCTAATTTCAAGTTTGAATCCTTTTACCACGTGAAAACTTCCTTAGAATACCCTTTAAAAAGGGAAAAAAAAGAGAGTCATAGAACATGTTCCATAGCAATCCTTTTGAAACATTCAGGTCAAAATCGTTGAACAGTATTGCCTTGACCAAGAACAATTCATTGCCCAGAAAAGCCTAAGGAGTCGTTCTTGTATAAGTAGCCAGATTAGTCAAATAAGACATTCTAACAAGTATGATAAAGTTAAACCCGTGTCTTCGTCAATCAGTTCAAAGTGTTTCTCTAAGTTAATCAAATACCCAATTGATCAGTTTGCAATTTGCATATTGATGGCAACAGGTGCTTATGTATTCATCGCAAAATTATCAGTAGCTTTATTGGATATTTATGTGAATGACTGTTTGTAAATATATTTTTAATAATTTTTTTTTCACATATAATATTCCTACACAGCCATGTGTGAGAAAATCAGTGTTACCGCTGTTGAAATTCCATAATATATATGTACATTTAGGA